ATAGTGTACCAAACCCCATTTTCAGTTTCCTTGGGCTCAAGGCCTTAGTTATAGGAGAGACATGTGGGTGCAACGAGGTGGACTAGGTGCTAGGTGCCACCAGTCTTAAGGTAGGGGCATGGCTAAATGGATAGGCATGAATTGGGTGTGAGCGGGTCAGTGGTGCTAACGTCGTCCCTTGGAACCTGAGGAGGTAGTAGGCACATATGTGTACCACATGCATATGTGTGATGCAGGCGGCCTTAGGGCCTACCTGGGGTGCATGAGCAGGTCTGGCAGCTGAGGTGCCAGCCTCTCGATGGTTTGTGAGTGTGGGGTGGATTTTGGGCCACCATTTGTGAGATGAGATTGCGGCCTGCCCCTCGGTGAGATGTATGCGTGTGAGGGGTGGCCTTGGGGCCATCCTTGGTGAGGTGACCGACGACTAGGCTGCTGGTGAGTGTGAGTGAAGGGCGAGTTGCTTTGTGGCTGCCACATGTGTGTGAGCACCAATGGCTAAGCCACGATGACGATGTGGTGAGTGCAAGTGTGGGAAGGAGTGACCTTGTGGCTGCCTCTTGAGTGGGTGCTGACAGTTAGGCTGCTGGTGGGATGCTATGGAGGGCGGGTGGACTTGTGGCCACCCTGTGCTTGAGCACCAGCGGCTAGGCCACCGATGGGGTGCTTTGGTTGAGAAGGGGTGGTTTAACAACCACCTCTTAAGTGGGGCACCGATAGCTAGGCCGCCCATGGGGGTATGTGAGAGAGTGTGGGTGGCCTTAGAGCCACCTTGTGAGGTGTGGCCGATAATTAGGCTATCAGTGAGTGCAAAGGTGAGAAGATGAGTGGCCTTGTGGCCACTTGTGTAGAGTAACTGGTGGCTTGGCCGCCGGTGAGTGAGATAAAAGGGGTCGGGTGGCCTTGTGGCCACCCTGTTCAAAGTTACTGGCGGCTTAGTTGCTAGTGAGTTTGGAAGAGCAGTGGGGGGTGGCCTTGTGGCACACTGGTGGCTTAGCCGATGGTATCATTGGCATGGAAATGGGGGTTGGCCTTTGAGCGACCCCTCTAGCCTTGACCAGCGGTTAGGCTACCGGTGACTGGGTGTATGAGTGCAGGGGTGGCCTTCGGCCCACTCATGAGAGAGGCAGACCATCAGCATTGCTAGAAAGTGGGAAGCATAGGACCCTAAGGTTGCTTCTTGACCCAGGAGGGGCATAAGCCCTGGTGTGAGTGGTTGAGCCACCACACATGAGAAAGGCGAGAGTGACGGGTCGGCTTAGAACCCAACTCCCTAGGGACAAGCAATCAGACGCAGGGATTATGAAATCCTCGATACGAATGTTGAAGTGCGTGGACTTCTTAACCATTGTGTGCACTCAGCTCAAGGAGCGAGTTGAGTAAGCGTGCAAATGGGAGGAACCAACAATGGGGTCGGCCCTATTTTTTAGTGCTATGTCTGCACCCTTGCACACGTGTGTGTGTGTGCACATGGGTGACACCGGTGTGTGTTCGTGAGGATAAGGGTGGACAGTGTGGTGTGGTTCGAACAACAAAATTTAGATGACCTAAGGCTTATCTCGAGGTGAAGTGGTCGGATACACTCGAGCAAATTGCCGTCTTAAATCCTGGTGCTTGTATGGCCCCACAGAAAGCCCCTATAACCGATCGACACTGTTTGGACTCAACCACCTTGCTCTCTTCTTGGCTCAGTTTCCTCACTTGAATTGTACACTCGTAATGGTTCAGGTCCTATGAACTTCTAGGCTTGTCCCTGGTTTGGAAAGGTTTCAAGTGTAGGCTTGGTTCAAGTATGGGTTGGGCTAGGTTACACTCTGATCTACGCCGATCTCTGTGATGAGAGCTGCTCAAATCTTAGCAAAAAGTGTATTATTTTTTAAAAGGTAGAGAAAGTGGGGTCGCTTAAATTATGGGCTCAGAAAAATCCCAGATGTATACAGATCCGGTCTTTTTCTGAGTCCACTGGCAGTGCCAGCTCCAAATCTGTAGTTTGACAAAAAAAGGCTTCTAAATTTTAAATCTAATGACGAATTAATTTAAAAAAAAATAAAAAAAAAACCGATAATTAAATGAAGAAAACAAACTAAATTAAGCAAAGAAAGATATACTTACCTCTAAGGAACCGAAACCCCGAGTTTCGAGTTTGGATCAGGCTGCTCTTCCGATTTACGCTACCATCTCCTTTTTTGGATGCTTTTGCTAGCTGGAATTGGTAGATCTAAGGTTCTTTTGACCTAGATCTAGGGTTCCTAAGGCAAGGAGAAAAGCTGAGAATTTTTTATAGGGTCTACCTAGGTTTTTCTTGGGATTGGAGGAGAATTTCCTTCGTTTTCTAAAGGTTTTGGGATATCTAGAGGTTGAATTTGGCTTCTGAGATTTTATCTAATTTTTTAGGATTTTTGGATATTTTTTTTAAATTTTTAGGAATTTTCTAAGGGTTTTTCCTATTTTTCGTATTTTTGGGTTATTTTTCTAATTTCAAGAATTTCTTTGTGGTTTTTGGTCTCCTATTTTTCTTTTAGGTTATGAAGGTGGTATTTATAGAACTCCATTGGTGATGTTTCCTAATTTTTGTGGAGTTTTTTTGGATTTATCTTGAAGTTTTAGCCTTATCTAATTAAAGAAAACACGTTTACTGTGTCATCAGCCTACAAAGACCAAATTGTCATTTGTTATATTTTTTTATCCTTAGGTTTGATTTAGGCGATTCTTGGACCGTTGGAAAGCTCTTGAGCTCTACTTCGAGTTAGGATAGGATTTAGGTAGCTTTGGGTTAATTAAATTGGGTCTTGCCTATGGTCTACTAAGGTTTGTGTGGTTCTTTAGGACTAGAATTGAGGTTTTTAGGAGTTCCCTTAGCCAAAATTTCAAGGGGGTGTCTACAGGTGCCCATCTTTGGCATTCATCTGGGGCACCAGGTGAATGGCCAAGAAATAGACACTTGAGACACGGTGGGAAGGAAAATATTTTTCGAGAGATCATTCTTTTGAATGATCAGTACCCTTTGGGTAGGTGGTACGGTGATGGATGCTTTTGATCCGTAAGACATTGAACTGACACTACTATATTTGAGTTAATGCGGTTGAGAGGTCTCCGACAATCGGGATCCGAAGTGACAGTCAACAGGAACTGTACTACCTTTGAGCCGATGACACTCGTCACTCCAAGCTACCTAGGAAGCTGCTAGTGTAGTCATCTTCGATTTTAGACCTTTTTTTCAGGGTCTGATTCTCCAATCGAATAAGATTTTGATTTAGAAGAAATGATAGGATGATGAATTTTTAACAAATTGAACTTCTTGTTCGTCTTTAAAGATTATTGGGGTTGACAAGTTCAAGCTTTTTGGTATGGGAACCTATGAGTTGGTCACTATTTTCCTAAGGGTTTGCAAGCATGACAATCCAGGATTTGGTGGCAGCAGACGCATCATATCCAAGCCTCCATGAAACTCCTTTGTGTTTTAAAAATATTTTAGAAGGTTTTGAAGATAGATTGAAGTTTGAAACAAAAACAGAGTTTCGAGCTACGTTTTAACCAAAGAAATTAAGGTTTTTGAAAACTCACGAAACATATAGGAGAAATTTTAAAGATGGATGAGAAATTTTGAAAAGCAAGTTTTTGGTAAGCAATTTAGGCTCATGCTACCATGGAGCTCTCCCTTCTTCTTCTTCTTCTCTCTCTTTTTTGTTTTTTTTCAAGAGCTTGTCGAGCCTCTACTTGGGACTTTCAAGACGAGGAATCACTAAGTACTTCCTCATCTTCCAATCTTGGCTCTTATGTCACAATTCAAGGAAGACTTTTTCTTGTTTTTCCGAGCAAACCGGTGTCTTTGATAATATGAGATGTGCCTCATAATGCTTAAAATATCCTTGGACTTCCAATTTTGTTCCTTCACTAGCATTCTTTTGAAGTTCAGATAGTCGAGCCTTTTCAATTTTTACTTGGACTGATGCCTTCCTTTGCTTTCTGACGCCATTCTAACTTGAGAAGAGAAGAGTTTATGGAGATTTGGATAAGAGACGAAAAGATAGAGAAGTTATAATTTTTTATTGCTTTGGGGTCCCTTTCGGATGTTCAGCCCGGTAGCCTTTTTTCCAACGCTCGGGGTTCTTTTCGGATTTTCAGCTCGGCGAATTTCTTTTTCTTTTTATTTTTATTTTTTATTTTTGTTTTCTCTTCCACTATCGTCCCTTTCGGGTGTTCAGCCCAGTGGCCTTTTTTCCATCACTCGAGATTCTTTTCAATTTTCATCTCGGTGGATTTTTTTTTCTTTTGAGGAAGAAGAAACAGGGGAGGAGAAGAGTTTGTGGCGTTCTTTTCCTTCTTTTGGACCTTCGTCCTAAAAAGAACAGATAAGAATCGATCATCCTTCCTTCTTCCAAATGGCAGGGGGGCCCTAGTCTAGGTTATCCTTCGATTTTCCTTGCCCTTAGTTGATATCTGATACTTCCTTGACAAAAGTTGTCGAATCTTTATAGAATATTTCATCGTTGAACTGCTTTACTCGAGCTTTGATTTTTAGACTCGAAGTCACTCTGAGCTTCCTAATCCTTCAATCTCTTGTTAAGTTGGCTAAGCTCATTTTTTATTTCCTTTTTTTTTCTTTTCTTTTATATTTTTATTTTTCAACTCCTTAGGTTGTCAATACCATGGAGTAGAATGACTAAGCAGAGCATGGATCCCCCCCTTGGCTTCTTTGAAAGAGAGGCGTAAGTGATCACCCCACGTCTTTTCGATAATCTTTTTTAGTTGCAACTTCATGTTGCTCTTGAGGTGTATATTGCTTCAAGGCATTTTGGGAGTCGTCAGATAAGGGTGGGCCTCACCAATTGCCCCTGCTTTATTTTCATCACCAAGTGAGGGTAGTCTTATCAAGTGGTTTGGCATGGCTGCTCCTGTAGGGTCTTCTCCATTTTATGAGACAATCAGTTTCTTGGATGAGACCGCCTCTACAGTATTTTCATCAGATGGGGCGGTCCCTATCAAACTGGTGGATAGGTCTGCTACTGTTGGATCTTCTTCTTTTCTTTGAATGTGGGTGCTCCACGTAGTGGAATCATGCCTCTGCCCCTATCATTTTCTTTGGATCTTTTCTCTTTAGGGAATAATATGATTTTATCTTTAATGTTTAGTTCTTCATCCCATATAGGCTGGTTATTCAGAAAATCCAGTGAAAGTGGCCAAGGTGGTCCCCTTAGAATATTTAGGGGTTTGATTTCTTTTAGCTCTTGTAGAGATGTTGAATTGAGTGGCATGGAAGGGGCATGTATGAGATCCCCATAAACTTGACATTTAGGACATCTATTTACATATTTCCAACAGTCTTCCGCTATAGTAGTCCAATAGGATCCTTGTCTTCTGACTTTATGAGCTAAGAGTGTTGCCTCTACGTGTCCTCTTTCGTTGTGTAGTTCGTTAAGTACCATGTTGACTTCTGGTTGGTCAATACACCTTAGGAGGATTCCTTCAAAGGACTTCTTGTAAATGATGTCGTCTTCGATCAAACAGTTGATTGAGAATCTTCTTAAGGTATCCCTGTCTCTCTTTGAGGCTCCTTCTGGATACGTTCTATCTTTGAGTAAGACTGATACATCATGATTCCAGGGCTTAGTTTTGACTATCTGGTTGGCCCCGAGGGTGAACATTTCTTCTTCCCTCTCTGATTCTTGATCTTCTTTTTCTGAATCCATCTTGGGAGGAGAAAGATTACTCTTGTGTCTAATGTAGAATGGTTGAACACTCATTTGGGGAGGAATGTTTACCATTGGTGCGAGAGTAGCCAAGGTATCGGCGAACCAGTTGTTTTCTCGAGTCACATATTGAAAGGTTACTCTTTTGAAGCATTTTGACGACTTTGCAACTAAGTCCTGGTAGAGCTGGAGCTTTTTGTCTCTAACCTTCCATTCTCTGTTGATTTGATTTATTATAAGAAAAGAGTTACCCACGACCCGTAATTGTTCACTTTGGAGTTCACGGGCATTCTCGAGACCAGCTATTGAGGATTCATATTCTGCAATGTTGCTTGTACAAGGAAAATTGAGCCTTATAGCAGTTGGAAACATTATTTTCTCTGGAGAGCATAGGATGACTGTGAAACAATTGCCGAATTCATTCCTAGCCCCGTCAAAGTATAACTCCCAAGTGAGATCCTTAGTGACAAAGAGGTCCTCATCAAGGAAATCCTTTTTGATGGGGACGCAGTCAGGTAAGGCATGCTTAGCTAAGTGATCGGCAATTGCTTGCCCCTTGACTGATTTATGAGTAACATATTCAATATCAAATTCTCTTAGGAGCATTCTCCATTTGGCTAATTGTTTATTTAGAACATGTCTTTCTAGCAGGTACTTGAGTGGATCCATCTTGGATATCAGCTTGATGGTATGAGAAAGCACATAAAGCCTCAACTTTTGAGTTGCCCACACTAAGGTTAGACAATGTTTTTCCACATCCAAGTATCGTATTTCATAGTCAACCAATGTCTTACTGATGCAATAGATGGTCTTCTCTTTTCCTTGGTCATTATATTGCCCTAACATCACCCCCATTGTCTTATTTGTCATAGCAAGGTAAAGGAACATAGGTTTGTTGGGATCAGGTGGACTCAAGATCGGTGGGTTAGAAAGGTACTCCCTTATACAATTAAAGGCTTTTGGACATGTCTCATCCCAGATAAACGGGGTGTCCTTCTTTAACAGATGATTGAATGGACCACATTTCTAAGGATTCAGCTTTAATTGGTGCTCTCGAAGTTGGCCAAATACTCTTTTCAAATTGGGAAGGTGGGCTTCCCGAGTTTTGGATTTGACGAGGGTGTCATCCACATAATCTTCCATAATGTCATGCATCAAGTCATGAAATATAGCAGTCATGACCCTCTGGTAGGTTGTCCCAACATTTTTAAGATTGAAAGGCATGACTCTATAGCAGTATGTCCCCCATTACGTGATGAAGGAAGTCTTTTTTGGGTCTTCTTTCGTCATGAGGATCTGATTGTAGCTAGAGAAGCCGTCCATGAAGGACAACATCTGGTGTCCAACAGTGTTGTCAACTAGAGCATCTATATTTGGAACAGGAAAGTCATCCTTAGGACATGCTTTGTTCAGGTCCCTACAGTTGATACAAACTCTGATTCTCTCATCTTTTTTAGGTACTACTAAGATATTGGCTAACCAATCTGGATAATCCACAGGTAAGATGAACTTTGCCTTTAAAAGTTTGTCAATCTCTTCTTTTATCTTCAACTCCAAGTGAGGCTTTTGTCGACGTAGTTTCTGTTTGATGGTTGTTGCCCCTTCATGGAGTACAAGATGGTGTTGTACCAATACGGGAATTAAGTCAGGCATATCTTTATAGGACCAGACAAATATGTCAATGTATTCTTTTAAGAGGGAGATCATCTTGTCTTGTTTTTCTGATGACAAAAAGCTTCCAATTCTTATGATCTTCGGACCTTTCTCAATTCCTAGATTAATGTCTAAGGTCTCCTCGACAATAGCAGTAGAACTACCGTCGAATCTTGTCTTAAACTGCTCAGCTTGGAACATGAGTTCCTCAGTGGGAGGTTCTTCATCTGACTCGAAATTTTCATCAGCAAGTGTGTCTTCATTTGTTTCATTTTCATTTTCTTCCTTGACTTCGTTTAAGTTGTCACTGGATTGTCAAAGGTCTTGACTGCATTTTCTACAATCTGAAAGGTAATGGTGTGAGAGAGGCTTCGCGCAGGATACCTGTTTAGGCATGCGCAGGATACCTGTTTAGGCATCCTGCGCCAACCCCTTTTCTTGGCACATGGACTTGAAAATGTCATTGTATCCCCTTGATGGATTCAATAGATAAGGGAGTAATGCTCAAACTTTCAGTAATTGCCCTAGTTTGCTTGGGAGCCGAGGAGGTGGTAGCCACAATATGGGCTCCAAGTGTAGACAGGGAAAATTGTCATTTTAACAGTTCTTCTTTTAGAGGAATTTCAATTATGATCTTCGGTTTTAGAAGAAATTAGGTCTTTTGGTGGTCAAGACTTTGAATTCCTCCAAGAATAAAACTTGGATGCCGAGAAGATTTGAGTTTACATTGAAGTTTAGAAAGTGTGCAACCCAACCCTCTTCGATCGTCAGTGTCTACTTTAGCATGAGGGGAATGAGTAATTGCCTCAGCAACACCTTGCCCATGTTTTCCAAGGCCAAAGCCGGGGTAGTACCCTTGAGCCAATAACATATTCCATGATGTGCACGAATCGAAATCATAATGACCATAACAAATTTTCAATTTCTCAAACACTTCATGCGTTTCAAGGATCATAGCACAATTTTCCTTGTATGTTAGAAGTGGGATCTCTTGGATTTTCAATTTTTTAGAGAGTTTCACTTTTACTGCTTTGACTGTATCTGAATGTACGCAAGCCACTCTTCCAACAATTGGAAACTTCAGGCATTGGTATAAAGTGGAGGCCACAACAAGATTTTCATGTAGCCATGGCTTGCCAATGAGTAGATTGAAAGAAGGTTCATTGTCAAGGACATAAAACCTCTCTATATGGACCACTGATCCAATCTTAAGAGTGAGAGGGATGATCCCTAAAGTTTCTCTTTGAGCCCCATCATAGGTTGCAATTGAGATGTTTGAGCCCTCAAGGTTTGTTTGTGATAACTCTACTCTTAGAATAGTTTCTTGGAATAGTTTTCAAGGGACAGATGTTCAGAGATGCCCCATTGTCAACCATCACTTTCCTGATTTCATAACCGCTCATGAAAACAGTGATGTAAAGTGGATGAGCGTGAAAAAGATCAAACCTCAGAGGTATATCATCATCAGTAAATGTAAGGGGGTCGGTGCTGTTAAAAGATTGATCATGTTGCTTAGCTCTTTGGGTCTAGTATGGGCGGTAGATTCAGTATCTGAGTCATAGTGAACTACAGAAATGACTAGAAAATTATACAACAAAAAATCTTCTCTTCTTTTTTTTCTTTTTTCTTTATCTTTTTTTAATTAGCTTTCTAAAAAAAAAAAAGAAGATAAAGATGCGTCTAAAAGAAAAAGAATTTTTTTTTTAAAAAAAAGAGAGGATAATGTCAAGAAAATTATAAGCTATACAGATAAGGTTTAACAACAAAATATAAAATAAAAAAAATGAGATCTATTTCTAATCTAAGAGATAAAGCAAAGAAGGCCTAGATCTATC